ATCTACATGTGTTCAGGTGTTAGAACTGGTTGCAAATACCTGACCTTGGATTTTAACTGCGTGCCTACAGTTGCCTTACAGCTGCCTTACAGCCCTCTTGTATGAAACAAATCGGTATTTAGTTAGGTTGAAGGTTTAGATAGAAATTCCCTTTTATTATTAAGGTATTTTGCTTGTAACAACTCCTCCCATTGAATTTAAGGGTCCTTATTAGGCAGGAGAATGACTAGGGTACATGTGGCATTCATTGAGGAGCGTGCTATAGGCGTGACCTAAAAGAAACTATCCAATTAAATATTAGAACCGAGGGACAGTGGGGGTGGTTTTTGAGGGAAACCCTGACACCAAGTGGCTACTGGTTGATGCCGGGGCGGGGCTTGTAGGCGGAAGTGTCTCCCGACTGGCCCAGCTGTCATATAGAAGAGAGAGGAGACCATTTATACCGGCTACCTCGGAAATGCAGAAAAAGGAAAAACGCTAGAATATGGAAACATTAAAACGATAAGGTCATGACGCCGAAGTGAAGGTAGCTATGCACGACATATAACCAAATACACGTTTGTTGATACGCTAGAACAGCAGTCGAGGTTGCATCACGTTATTTCAACATGTAAAATGATGACAATGATTCGTAGGTTGTGTGACATTGAACATACAGGACACGAAACAGACGAGGTCGTTTAAAGAGCCATACACCATTTCCAACTTGTCATGTCTTGGAAAATTCCGCCGTGCTGTCGATCTTAACAGTGTCGTGTACGATAAAGCGACCTGACGTGACGCTGTAGCCCTTAAATGCGCTTATTGCTTCCCAGCTGGTTTGCAAATGTGCTACAACGCCTCTGCTGTTGTCGACTATTATCCTAGCCTAGCTACTTGGTGAAGGGAACTACCCTAAATTCAGATCAGACGGGAGACGTCATCAGTATTTTCCTGTATTTAAGTGGTTGCGTACGAGGAGGTCACTGCTGAAAAGGGAAGATTATTCGGTAGGTGTCTATGCTGGAGGCCATCTCACTTCGCGAACGGTCGTAGAAACGCTGTAATGCACAAGCGTACTTTAATATTGACTGCTGAGATCTACGAGAGTAATGGGGCGCATGGAAGGTGGCGGAGCAGCTGTTAGCTTGCTGCTTGCTGCGTAACGACCTTTGGAGACGTCAGCTTCAACAGCTCAGGCTGGTAAGGCCGGGTGTTTTCCGTGGTTTTCTGCCTGCTATCCGAGTGTTAAATTTCATCCAGGTCTCCTCTGGCGATTTAATGTCACCGATTGCACCACTAGACCAGGCAGGGTGCAGCCCAAGCACATTCACTGCGTTAAGAGAGGCTTATTTTAGAGGCCAGATCAACTGTGGGTGTACCAGCTGTATGTTTTTGTCATCCTCTTTTTTTGTTTTGTTTTTGTTTTTTTGTTTCTTCTATTCCTTGCTTCTCCTCAACCCATGTTCTAGAATAACAGAGACGGAGAAAGTCAACTGAAGATTTACTGCCTGTCCTAAATGGGGGACTACGGGTTTGGAGTTCTGGTGAAGAACAGCAGTGGTAACAAATCTACTTTCCCTGTAAGGATCCCTCCTCACCTCCAACCCCAGCACCCTCACCACCCCTCCAACCCTCCCAGCCCCCCTTCCTTCGTAAACAACACCTGCTCCACCAATGGGGGCAGTGCTTGGCTGTTCCCTGCTGTAGCCCAACACAGTAACATGCAAGATGAGATTCTGGAGTCAGACAAGACCAAGGCCTTGGACCTCCAGGACATGCAGGAGAAGTCTCAGGTCCAGAACCAGCCTCAGGCCCTGTCTCCGGGCCAACAGGAGGCCGGTGGAGGCCTAGGAGACCTTGAGAGTGCTCTGCCTGATGATGGCTCGCTGGAGAAGGGTGCCTTAGAGAGCAGTGCAGGGAAGGAGAAGCTGCGGATGGAGTCCCCAGTTCTGACCGGGTTTGACTACCAGGACAGCCTGGGAATGGGTACCAGCTGTGCACAATCCACCTCCTCCTCATCCTCACTGACCAGCTTCAACAACTGGTCCCCTGCTATCCCGTCCACTCAGTCTTCAGTGGTAGGGGAAGACGTTGGAGGGTTTTTAGGTCCAGCTGGCTCCAATGCAAATGGGCCTCCCCTGCTGTTTCAGAACTTCTCCCACCATACTGGGCCTGGCTTTGGAGCTGGAGGTAATTTCTCTCCACAGATTGGACCAGTGTCCCAGCACCACCCACCCACACCTCATCCCCAGCACTACCACCCCCACGGTCAGGGGGTCCCGCAGCATCACCGGCGCTCTCCAGCTAGCCCTCATCCACCCCAACCCTCCTTCCCTCCACACTCCCATCGCACTGGACCGTTCACCCAGTTGCCCCACCTCGCTCATGCCCAGAATAAAGCTCCTTCACCTTGGGGAAGCTACCAGAGCCCCTCCACTCCCATATCAACCTCTTGGAGCTATAGTGGCTGGGGAGGCACACAGGGTGTTCGAGATTACCGGAGGGGGGTAGGTGGAGGCATGACTGGCCTTAACTCCATCTCTCCACTGAAGAAGTCTTTCCCCAACAACCAGGTAGACTGTGTCACAATTCATCTCAGATTCTGAAAAATCTTAGAAGAACTTTGCATTACTTGATGTGTGATTGTTCTGTCTTCCAGATTCCCCCTCAGAAGTTCCCCAGAAATAGCTCTGGGTTCAATCACAAGGGCTGGGTAGAGGACAATATGAGCCACAGTGACAGCGTCTACCCTTTCCAGGTAAGCATATCCAATAGGTATACACTCAGTTACTTATTTTAACCATCAGAACTAGTAGTTCCAAATATATTAACCTAAGCTGTATTTGGTTGATGTTCACTTGAAAACAGTAATACACTGTGGTCCTACACTAACCCAAATTTGAAATCTGTCTTGTGTGTCCTACGGAGGAAAATTGTGTTAAAAACACTCGTCTGCATCAAATATAACAAATCAGCCACTGAGCAAAACAGGATGTATGACAGTTAAGCCAACTAAACAGATGAACTGAAACTTCTGGTGTTTTCTAGCATCCGAGTTCTTATCTAGATGGTTTGGTTGAAGCAGAGTGGTCTTATCATCTGCTCTGATCACATGACTCTCCTCTTGTCCTGATTTGAGATGTCTTGTGGTCCACTGCAGCTTTTGTGTGCTTTCTGTGTAGATGCACAGTGACACACTCACTTGTATTATATGTTACTCTTCACAGCTGTTCTTTTGTTTTTGGAATTGTTTCAAACGCTAATATGTCATTGTAACTTAGGCTGTAGAATTAGAAATGGTACTAATTAGAAATTGGCCAAGTGGAATGATGCCTTTTTTTTTTTTTTTTTTTTTTAAAAGCACCTATGGTGCCATATCTCATACTGTCAAACTGAAGGATGCCGTTTGATTATGTGCCACACTCTGGGCTCCATTTTCTGTTTATGGTGCTTTCCATTGCAGGTCTCTATGGAGATATTCTCTACACTTTTTTTTTTCTTTATTAGCATTATAGCAAAGTTGTCTCTCTCT